AGTCTCTCTGACCTCAGAGGAATTACCTGAAATGGAATAAAATAAGATAATATTTATTCCATGTAAGAGTGCAGAGCTGCAGTGCTTGTAAGCCGATATAGAACTCCTCCGCAGAAGGAGGTAATCAAGTATCCGTGGCTGCCTGCTCCTGCTGCTTCCCTATAGCTGAAACTGCTTCTCACTAGTCTCTGCACCCAGCTGTAGGAGCTAAACCAGTAGAGAGCTAACCCTACAAAAAAGGGGATATTCTTCTGCCAGTCTAAATCCCTGGCTTACCGTCGTCACCATCAAATGACAGTGTTCATGCAAGCAAGGGATGAAAGAGTGCGGGAAAAGGGACAAAGGGTCTTCTTTTTCTTCCAGTAGCTGTTAGTCATTAGGTTGGTTTAGGTGTATCACCCAGTTGTGCCAGTGTCTTTGCGGAGAGCATATAATAGAACCTTTTTGATGGTTTTTTCCACTGTTTGTACGTGGCTACTGCAATGATGGGGAACCTGAGGACAGAAACACCCTGTGACTTTATTTCACCTGGTCCATGGCAACATGACTTCTTCCTCTTTGTTAATGGCCAGTGTATGTGTTAATGCATGACCTGTGCAACTTTCAGGAAAGAAAAGGTTCGAACAGACAAGCAAATGGATGTCAGAATTGAACATGAATGTTTAAGTGGCAAGGTTAGGAAATGGTGATCGTAACAAACAATGGAATTCAGAAGACTTTCCTTGATTTAATGCTAGGTTTGTGTATAGCACTGTATCTACACTAAATACGTTCTATTCATATTTGTGAGTTGCAAAATAATAATCTTGAACAGTAACTTGCCTTCTTGCCTGGAACAAACTTCCCACACAGGTAAAGGAATAAGGGCCATAACTTAGTGCCAGATGCACTGTGCAAATATGACTGAAATTTCATTCACCTGAAGAAATTTAAAGTTGCCATGAAGGAACAATAACAGGTAGAATTTATATATATTTAAAGGTCTTTGCTGTGTATGTTTAAACATACTCTTTAAGTGCATTCAATTTTACATAAAATGAGGAATAATAATTACTTAGCTTTATTTTTTCCAGGAGCATGATTATAAACACTTACATTTTCGGTGTACCAGTATCATACTGATTTATGAGACAGCTATTGATGATTTCAGTACATGAAAAATGATATAAAAGTGGCAGGTTAATTACAGGATATACCGTTAATGGGTGAGATATGGTTATGTCTGTTTTCCAAGTTACGCTCTCGTAATACAGTGTTACATCTTCTGGAACATAATATATACATATTTTATGTTATGCATAATCATCAGGAAAACTTCACAGTCTGTACACATTGGTATCTCTGAGTCTCTTCGGTCCTTCTTCACATTGATTTCAGGAAGGATTACTTGCATTAGCAGAGAATGCAGAACTGAGTGTTTGCTGTGGTTTTGAATAATGAATTTCTGTAGGATTCCAGAAATGACATTCAGTTCCTCAAACATTTTCTGTAAAGCAAGCAGCATACTTTGAAGTCTGTGCTAGGAGAAAAAGAAACAAAACCAAAATGCAAATGTCCTTGTGCTGATTTTGGCTGGGGTAGAGTTAATGTTCTTCACAGTAGCTAGTACAGGGCTATGTTTTGGGTTTGTGCTGAAAACAGTGTTGATAATACAGAGATGTTTTAGTTACTGCTGAGCAGTGCTGGCACACAGTCAAGGCCTTTTCTGCTTCTCACACCACCCCACCAGCAAGTAGGCTGGGGGTGCACAAGAAGCTGGGAGGGGACACAGGTGGGACAGCTGACCCCAACTGACCAAAGGGATATTCCACACCATATGACGTCATGCTCAGCATATAAAGCTGGGGGAAGAAGAAGGAAGGGGGGGATGTTCGGAGTGATGGTGTTTGTCTTCCCAAATAACAATTAGGTGTGTTAGAGCCCTGCTTTCCTGGAGATGGCTGAACACCTGCCTGCCGATGGGAAGTAGTGGATGAATTCCTTGTTTTGCTTTGCTTTACCTATGAAACTGTCTTTATCTCAGCCCATGAGTTTTCTCATTTTCACTCTTCCAATTCTCTCCCCCATCCCACCAGGGGGGAGTGAGCGAATGGCTGTGTGGGGCTTAGTTGCTGGCTGGGGTTAAACCACGACACTCCTAAAGTACTATCCTCCTTTCGTGGAATGGTTCAGTGGCTTAATGAGGTTAATTTGTATTAGGTTGTGGGAAATCCTTTATCTACTGTATAGAGGCTTTCGTTTCACATGAATGTGACAGATACTGTACTTACTGCACTGGAACTTAATTATTTGATAGCATAAGGAGCTGAAATCCCTACATTCCCTCTCAAGAAATATTCATTGCATGCTCTAGATGGTAAATAGAAACTAGAGGATGGTTGGCCTAGATTTTCAATATTTGAAATATCTTTGTATACTTTTCTAGGTTGTTTTGGTTTTATACCCAGAAAATTTTAAAGCAGCTTTATTAAAGATTCCCCAAAATACTATCAATAGTATGTGATTATTTTTTGTTCTCTCCCATTTTCACATCTTTTCACCCTTTGAAATGCTTTTCTGTATTGTACGTGAATGTAAGTGACCGTTTCATTTAATTACACTCTTTTACCATAAAAGTCTTAAAATGCCTGTTTTTCTCTCCCTAATTACTACAAAGCAAGTCTTTCAAAAGTTTTATTTCAGTATGAACATTTCCCTCACAGCATTTTACAACAGCTTTTTTAACTGGCTGCCATTCCATATGGCTATTGGTGCACATTGTACTTTATTTTCTCTTAGCAGGTATATTATGGCATTTCTGTAGACCTGGTAGAGCTGTGTAAAGCTATTTAATAAGAGAGCGAGGATGACAACATTTCAGGATCAGTGATACACATCGGAATACAAATATGGACTGAAAATTAATATACTGAAAAATTAAGTGGGACAAAGTTCACATCGTACCACGAAATTTACTTTCTTTTTTAGATTCAGTGTCTGGGTTTTTTATGTACCTATCATAAAATACAAATAAATGAATTTGTGTTAACATGTGTGGGTAAAATATGTGTAATTGCCTATCAAAATAAAAATTAATGTGAACTTACAAAAGCAGCATGTTTTTGTCCTACTATATATTATACATTAGAAATAGATCCTACAATAATTTTTTAACATATTCACAAATAAAAAAACTTATAACAGTTTTATTGAGAAAAATGAATGTATTTATTTAAATTGTTTTATTGGCATATGTACCAGTGAAATTGTTTGAAAAATAATTAAAAATAATTTTTACAACAGGCTGTTCTGGTAGCTGTAAAAACACTTGTTCATCATCAAAGGTATGAAAATTCCAGAGACTGCAAAGTTCACACAGATAGTATGAACTGCTTTTCTCATCCTCTATTGAATTACAAGTGATAAAGAGTTAAAAAATTAAGAAAAGCATTTTTATGCAAAACCAATTTTTTTTCTCCTAGATTTCCGATTTATGTGTAACATTTCGGTGTATCACAATATGATGGATCATGGGTTAATTGTTCGCATTGTGTTATATCGTTTCAGCTGTAGTACAGCATCATGTGATAAAGTATAATCTAACCTGACATAATACGATGCAGTGAATGACAACAAAGATCACAGACTGTTCAGTGGACTTTGTTCTACTGAAAAACGCATAATTGCCTGCATGAAATGTTTAGTAGTTTATGTTTTGTTGATGAAGACCCAGAAGTCTAATTGCTGCCTGTGGCTTTTGCCTCTAGGCACATTCTTGGGGTCCATAGCCTACATCAAGTTTGTTTTCCTTCCTCAGCCCTTTTGGGAGCTGATACTCTGCAATAACAACTGACTGGATCCAGGGATCAATGTTGGGCTCCTGAAAGCCTGTTAGTAGGGCCTTCTCCTCGTGGAAGCTGTCATTTATTGTTTGCCATTAGGGATATAAAAGGTAGCTGAAGTGTTCAGTACATAGGCTTTGCATAAAGCATACAAAAAGTTATACAGCAGAAAAAATAGGGGACTTAGGGGTACTGTTAAAACACATATTGCTTTGCATAATTAATATTCCTCCCTGTACAAGGTTGTAGGTCAATACCAGCTAAAAGTTCAGATTTCTTTCTCTCTTCCTTCTGATGGAATTGAACTATCTCCAGAAATATCTGGTCTTGTATCAATCACCACTGAAAGTTCAGTTAAAATGACTTTTTCTGAACTCCAGATCCTTTGGTAACCAGAAAGGGTAGTTTGGTAGTTCTCCTCTTACCAAATTGGTCCTCTCCTAGGACTCCAGTAGCATGATCCTGGTGATCAGTTAGAGCAGCATGGGTGGGAGTGATGGCTACTGGATATGGGATAATGAAGATTGTCCTGTTGCCTCCCTGTGTTTGAAAAATTTGGTTCCCCGTGTTCCCAGACTTTCTTTGCAGTGCCAAGCAGAAAGATTTAAAATGTGATTCCTTGGTAGATTTTATTTCTGGGTTTTGTTTGAGGGCTGTCCCTGTATCCTGCCAGTTCTTCTCTGTCCATCTGTAGGAAGGTTTTGGGATATCATATCAAGAACTGCATTTGCCCTGGACATAAAGTCTGGGGACATAGATTCTGAAAACATATGCATGTATGGGTATTTTAACATTGATACACTTCCATTCCAAGATTTCTCCCTTAGAGAAAAGAAAAAAGTATCTTGGTAGAGATACACCGCTGTTTATGGGAGTTCAGAAATTAATATAGTTTCTAGGTTAGTTTTATAATGTTTCTGCTTCCTGCTTCACGGGAACAGTCCCACATGCAGTCGTCTCCAATTGTTCTTTAGCCAGTGTTTTCTGCCTGAGACAGTTATACTACATTTGGAAAAGAAACCAGCTTTACATTCTAGTGTTAGTACCATTGTAATTCTAGCTTCATGCATGGCAGACTGCCTTAAGAGCCAAGTTTAATGCATTTCTAATTAAGAAAACCCAAACAACGGTATGATGCTACCTCGCAATGTTATCAAATTGCTCATCTTATTTTCACAGCTCACCATGTTAAAACTGGGACCTGTGAAGTGGTGGCGCTCCACAGATGTTGCAATAAGAACAAGATAGAAGAAAGATCACAGACGGTGAAGTGCTCCTGCTTCCCTGGGCAGGTAGCAGGTACCACCCGGGCAGCTCCTTCTTGTGTTGATGGTGCGACTACTCTATTGCTTCCTTTCGTTGCATGTTCCTAGGGGGTTTTGCTCGCTTAATGTCATCACTGATAACCACACCATTACAGTTAGCTATTTAAAATAAGAGTAGGAAGCCTTCTGCATTTTGAAGGGCATGCCCAAGGTGAATGGGAGGAAGATGGGAAAAATGAATTATTTGCTATTACTCTGTGGAAATGCTAAGCAAAATTATTAGATGCCAGTGAAAGAGACCTCTTGAGAAGCTAAATTTGATCTAACTAACAGAGTGCCCTCGGAGTTGTATGAAAATCACTTAATTAAAAGTGTTTTATATTTATTTTTATCATACAGGAACAAACAAGCAAACAAACAGAACACAGTTCTGGCTGTTTTTTAGTCTTTTTAGACCAACACTATTTTTCCTATTCACAGTACAATATTAATGCTTTACTTAACAAATCTGGCATAGGCTCATATGTTTTATTTGGGAAAATACTAGCTGATTTTTCACATCTCTTTCTCTGAAAGAGAAGCAGGATGGATTCACCCTTTACATGATCTCTTTATTGTTGATATGTTGTTGGCTGTCAGAGAAGTGTAAGTATGTCATCATTGGGGAATAATTTTAATCAGGCTATGCTAGACTATATAGTAGATCAGGAAAAATACACTACCTCAAAAGAAGATATTCTGCTTAAAACTTTGAAATCTGGCTGAGCAAGAAAAAATGAGGGTTGGAAAGAAATGCTGTGAAATTAGTTCCTGAACTGCAGTAAATTAGAAATAAACCACAGTAAAGAGATTGACTTTGAAGCACGTAGCACCTTGTGCAAATTGAGACCTAATTTCTTATGAAGATTGTAGGCTGGCTGAAAATCACAGACTAGCTGTCAGTCAATATATTTCTAACATTCTCCTGGAAAATAAAAGAAATGTAGCAACATAATGACATATTAAAGTATGCATTTCAACAAAATGTGTTTGTGTTCCTCTCTTGTAGCTTCAATAGTGGAGCAGAAATGGTGGTGCCACATGCAACCATGTCTTGAAGGGGAGGAATGTAAAGTCCTTCCAGATCGTAAGGGATGGAGCTGTTCCTCTGGGAATAAAGTGAAAACAACTAGGGTAGGTATGATACCAACCTTACATGTTACCAACAGGTGAAAAAAAAAAAAAGTGCACAGGAAATGGGGTGCACATAGAAGACATCAGCTGAGAAGACTAAAGAAGTGTGGGAAGAGAGCCATACTAGGATTGGACTTCCTGGTCCTGCACACTTTTCTCAGCACACTTTGCAATTGCTTGAACATGGTAAGCAGTGTGCCAGACCTTCTCAGGTAAGCAGTGGAGATAGTAGAGTTGACCCCTTTTTCAGCTACCAGCAGTGATCGAATGTATTATAATCTGATATGTATTTAGCTCTGAAACCAGTTGCACAGTCTATACACCCTGCTAAGCTCTTCATTCACAGGATAGCATACAAGTGCATTTTTATCAATAACATGGAATTACCATGTTTCTACATAGAAACTGCTGAGTATGGTAAGCATTTGATGCGTCATGACAGTATGATCTTCTGGTTCTTTCTGTCTTGTATGACTGGGATTTACTAAAAAATTTTGGCAGAGATTAAGTGAGTTCCTTTTCTCCATTTGACACTTTTTATATTATTGGTTCAAAATTACATTAACAGAAATAGATCTAACATTCATCATATACAATGCCTGAAAACAAAGTAAGCCTGCTGTCGTCTCAGATTTTAGCGGCTAACAGAAAGAGAAGAATAACAAATTCTTCAGATAAGCATTAAGCACTCAAACTTCCTGAAACTAGTGTTGTATCTCTATAGGGTGAACGCAGTTCTTCATCAACATAAAACAGATTAAAACACACTCTGAAGACACGCATGTGTGTAAGCATAAACACCTTCACCACTACACCCCACCACACATAACTGATGACTGGTTTTCCTTGTAAGTATTTTGTAATTGTTTGCAGTGTCAGGCCATAATTTGCTAGTGTGGTGTTTACTCTACGCAGGTGTTTGAGTGTCTATGTCATTTGATTGAAAACCTCCTTGCATAAGCACTAGATTTCTGGTACACCTTGGTGGTAGTGAAATGTAGTGTGTACTAAGTGAATTATATTCCTTCTGTTCCGCAGAGACCTCTACATGTCTCAGTTTCTGTATGTATGTCTTTAAAACATTTTGACATTCTTTGAAGGAAGGATACTTCCTAAATGTTTGACATACAATTACACTCCTGAGTCCTCTTTCAAATGTGTTTCTTCTGAAGCTAACCTTGCTTGAATGCTGCCCACACTTAACTTTGTACATGCCAATGCAAATCTGATTATATGCATGTAAAACGTGTGTGTGTATATTACAACCAAAAGGAGCTAGATAGAATTTAATAATAGTAATAGAAATAGAAAAGAATTACGTGTGTGTGTGTGTGTGTTTTGAAATTTGTCCTGGCTACTACTACATGGCACTATTAATGTTAAAGAACGCATGCCATTTTGTATTTAATGTGAGTGTTTAACAAGCAGTAAGTAAAAATGTGTGTCTGGATTACGTTTCTGTAGGAAAAAAGAGGTCACAAAAGGGGGAGATATCAATTAGAATCGCCTTGGGGAGATTTCTTCCTAACATTTTGTCAGAAGATGATAGTTTTTTCTACATTGGTCAAGGTTATGAAGTTCTGTCCACTGTTAGGAGTCTACAGAAGCCCAAGGCTCTTGTCCTCAAGAGCTTATGCCTCTGTTGCAGACTCATAGGTCTGGCTCTTTGCAGGAGTTGGACTTTTCTTGTCCTCCATGGATGGTGGCAATCCTCAGGACTCATTTCATACCTCTTCAGAAATGGAGCTATGAAAAAGCTAGTCCTTTTCTCTATTTGCCATCATATGCACTGATTCAGTACAATGGTTACCATAACCTGCTTGCAGACCTACCACCACTAAAAGGAAAATACTAATCCCCTTAAATCCCCCACTATTTGTTCTGCCTTCTAGTTTGTCCAGACATTATATGTTTGCCCCTTCTTCCTTCATTTCCCACACAGCTGCAAAGCTGTTTTGAGACAATAGCAAACTTGAATTCAAATTTCTGACAGAGAGGTGGTCTCAGTTACTGAAACCAGGTGGCAGGTGAATGAAGGTCTCTGTCTTTCCAGACACAGGAGGCTGAGATTTTAACAGATGTCATTCTGATGCCCAGAAAAATATACATTGCTCTTGGAAATGTGAGTGATTCTTTGTGTTAAGAGAGTGGCTTATTATCAAAAAGCAAGTACTTTTCCCTAATATGTAGTGACTGCAATATTTTTGTAGCTCCTCTTTCTGCTCCCTGAAATCTATATAAATAAAAGGAAAAATTCTAAAGTGCTCTGTGGTTTCAAAACCCCCTATTTTGAGAAAAATAAAAAGAACTGTACAGAGAGTCAGTATTAAGAAGTCATGAATAATAAGTTTCTGATTGTCGAATGAAGTAACCCATATGTGATTATCATGTATAATGTAAAAGCATAGAGAAACAAAGGGAACTGAACAGCTTGGGGTGATTTAAGTGTATTGCAGAAAAGCCTTGTGAAGGCTTTCCTGAAAGGTCTAAGAAAGTCTATATTCACCTCTAAACATTTTCTGTAAGTTTGCCTCCTTCGTGTGCAGAAAAAGTAACCCAATTAACCGCTGAAGTACTACTTTCTCTTCTACAGGATACCAAGTTCAAAAGCAGCACCTACGTTTCCACATCTCAAGCTGGTAATAGTTAAGCATTATGTTAGAGATAAAACTAGTGGAGGAAGGAGGTATTTTGCTAGTCCACCTCTGTTAGCATATTTAATCACACTGTTGTAAAAAATGATGATACCAACTTCTTAATACTTACGGTATCAGTCACTAAGCAAAAAGGCCAAGTGAATAATGGGAGAAAACTAATTGATTTTTAAAAATGTGGTCTTCTTGAGGTTTTGCGTTTTGTTCAGATATGGGCATCTAATAAGGTAATGCATGAATAATGAATTAGAAATAGCATGAAAGTGATGGTACTCAGACTTCAAATGTTAAGAAAAGTCAGGTGGAAATAATTTACCTTCAGAATGCAAAAACAGTATTATGGAAAAATTAAACTGTTTTTGCTAATTTGTCTGCATATTAGTGGGAGGGGGCTGACATTGGAGTTAACCTTGGAAAAGGAATGAATACAGAGGGGAAAGTGTGTATGAATAAGCTGAGTACTGAGTTAACTTGTGCTGGTTTAGAATTGACTATTTTGGGTCTATGTAGCCTGCAGGAGGGGAAAGGGAAAAAAGTCAATGACAGTTTAGCTGAAACAGTAATTTTTTTTACTTCATATAAAGAAATGCGTGTTTTTGTTCCTGAGCATTATACCGCAACAAAAGAGGATGTTCAGGAACACATCAGGAGAATTATTAAGTGATTATGTGCATAGCTGAGATTTACCAGGCACATTGTGGCATTCCCTTCCAGACTGAGAAACTGTTGTGAGAGGAAGCAATTGAATATTTTTCTATATGGCTAGCCTCAATATTTTGATAAATAAACATGAAAATTGTGTCACGTTACCCTCTTTAAATGATGACAAAAGTGTTAAAAAAAGGGAAAATCCAAAGAATTTTTTTTTACCTTTGAAATATTTTTTCTTCTTACAGCCTTTTTCTAATAAAATTATTTTCAGTCAGAAAGCTCTCTTGGCTTTGCTTCCTTTCCTTTTTGCAACATAAGAGAAATGTCTGTTTAAAACAGGGGAATTTTCCCATCAGTTGAAAACTCCAAAATATAGCAGTATTATGTATAAAATTGACAATGACATTAAAAAAAATGCTGTGAGTTTGTAGGAAACAAAGGAGCCCTTTACAAAGACTGGAAAACAACATTTTGCAGTCAGATAAGCGCTAAGGACAAAGAATTTCATATTTCTCTCAGTTATGGGGTGTATTCCATACCAGAGGTCTCTGGATAGGGGCTTTTCAAGTGCAGATCCAGACATCAGGCTTTACTTGTATTTTTAAGAACAGTACATTGTCCGTTATCATTATAATCGAGGCTGACTTTAAATACGAGCACCAGAAGCTGCATGTAACCTGTATGAAAGTGCATGCTGCAATGCCTCCTGGGTCCCGGTTCCCCAGGCATCCACCCTGGGACTAGCTTGGAGCATGTCATGGCTCCTGGGCAGCCCATAAGCCTGTGTGTCTTTCCTGCAGAAACTAGGGCACAGGAACGCAGGTAAAGTGGTGCATCCTGGGTCTCATCTTGAGATCCTGGATCTGTGACATGACTCAAGAAGTGTGCACTTGTGCCCAGGAGTGGGGAAGTGTCCCTGGGCTGACATTTTATGAAAATGTAGGGAATATTTTTCATGTGAAATAGACTAGACTAGACTAGACTATTTCAGTTGGAAGGGACCTACAACAATCATCTAGTCCAACTGCCTGACCAATTCAGGGCTGACCAAAAGTTAAAGCATGTTGTTAAGGGCATTGTCCAAATGCCTTTTAAACACTGACAGGCTTGGGGCATCGACCACCTCTCTAGGAAGCCTGTTCCAGTGTTTGACCACCCTCTCGGTAAAGAAATGCTTCCTAATGTCCAGTCTAAGCCTCCCCTGGTGCAGCTTTGAACCATTGTGCAGTAATAAAATAGTACCTTGTCCTTAAGCTTTTAGTTTGATTTGGTAGAACTGCTTGTGGAATAAGGCATAGTTTAATGCTAAGTACTAAGTTCTGGTTAAAATATGTGGAGTCCAATTTACTGGACTTTGCTTGGGTTAGGATTCTCTAGAGTGAGATGACTAGCCTAAGCTCTAGGCTGTCTTTTTAGTATTGGAGAGAATTGTTCCATTCCAGAGGACAATTCATTTTGTCCTAAGATAAGTCAGGTGAATTGAATGTCTCTCTAATAACTCTAAAGGGAAGCTATGATGACTAGCTTAGCGCCTAACATTTAGATACTTAATGTTGAATAGGAAGATGCTGGCTCGGAGACTTTACTCTCTTTGGTGTGGTCTTCAGTAGGAAGATGATCAAAAAAGCCCCTTTATTCTTTGTCAGTTTGGGAAGCTTTGGACTTTGACCACTATCAAATGCAATAAAACATAAG